AAGCAATCTCGCGGATCACCAATCGTTTGAGTTTACAGTACTAAAGAAGAGAAAAGCGGCGGCGGGGGGGGCGAAATTGCTGCCCAGCAACCCGCTTCTCAACTTGTCCTGGGCGAATTTTGTCTGCTTCCGATCGCACCCCTTCGCTTTCCCGTAGGCTGGCCGTCTTCATCAGCCTAAGGATCTGTGTCTCATGCCCTAGTTCTGAACGTCCCTGCGGAACAAATCAGTCTGGGACGGCAGCAGGGCTTAGACCATTTCCTCCAGAGGAGTCCTGTTCAAATCAGTGAGCTTGCACTAGAGCAAAGAGGAGAGTTTATACTGTGCGTGGTCCTTGGCAGAGCCTAAACCACAGCGAAGAAGAATGATTTCGGGAGAGCGTTTTGAGAAAGGGGGTCAATAGGATCCAGGCATTTCAGATGTCCTTTGGAGCGGGCGGGGGGGGGCTGAGGAAGGGTGTGGATTCTCTGTCTTGGAACTGCTTCTTTTTCAAAGGGTACTCCCATCCCCTCTACCATCTCGCTGAATGTCGCTTCCCTTTCAGGTCTCTTCGATCAACCGAGTCCTCCGCAACCTGGCTAGCGAAAAGCAACAGATGGGTGCTGATGGAATGTATGACAAGCTGAGGATGCTGAACGGGCAGACCGGGACGTGGGGCACCAGGCCTGGGTGGTACCCGGGGACGTCGGTTCCTGGACAGCCAACGCAAGGTAAGGGGGCGAGAGAAAGAGAGGGAGAGAGAGGTCTTGGGGAGGAGAGGGGAGGGGAAAGATCAACTCACCCAGTCTCTCCCTCCCACCTCCTACTCTCCACCCTGATCAATCCGATTTCTCTAATGACCCATCAAAGGCGAAAGTGACAAATTCCGCCATAGTTTGTCTGCCTTTCTGACTCCGCCTCTGTCTTCTTTCTTTCTTTCTTTCTTTCTTTCTTTCTTTCTTTCTTTCTTTCTTTCTTTCTTTCTTTCTTTCTTTCTTTCTTTCTTTCTTTTTCTTTCTCTCTCTCTCTCTCTCTCTCTCTCTCTCTCTCTGGCCTTTCTCCGCCTCAGCCTTTCGTACCACACTTTCTGGGGCCCCGGTGGTGTATCGTGTGAACAGGAAGGTGGCGGGTGCGAAAGGCAGGTCAGCGGCAGCGAGGATGGAGGGGGACGGAATCCCACCTTTCCTATACCGCGTTGTGTCGAAATCCCTGCACAGGGACGCCCGTGCACACGACCGCAATGAGATTTAATAAACCCCAGTCTAAGACTGGGAGAGGCGAAATCTCTGACAGGCGGGGAGGAAAACATAATTGTATCAGATTGCGCCTTAAGTGTAATTGACAAATTAGGTGACTCCGAGTGGGAAGCATCTAGAATGATGGACGAGAAAGAAATGGAGGCGCGTTGCCTCCAGGACCTTTGATTATCTGGTCACGTCCCAGCTGGCTGTTTTTAAAGTTTTGTCGCGGTTTTGTTTTTTTTGTTTTTTCTTTTGGTTTTCCCTCTGGTCGTTTTTTGTTTGTTTGTTTGTTTTTTGTGGCTGGGGAAAAATCGATTCTTAAGCAGTTAGGAGAGAAAGTAAGGCTTTTATAGAAAAAGCACAGAAGTGGATTGATTCGATTTCCCTTCGGTGTGTGCGCGTGCGTGTGCGCGCTCGCGTTTCCTTTTGAGACTGGCGTGCTCCAAGTCGGAGCCGATCTGGAAGTCCTCCTCAGCGGCGTGTTTCGAATTCAGGGGCGGTTAATTCCCTCTTCCCGCAGCCCTGTTCCAACTTTGCCAATATGGGCCACTGTTTATCCTGAAGATTAATAGGTGTTTGTGCTCGGCACTGACAAGGGGTTAATATGGAGGATAACAGGATGTTGCTTTCCTTCTCTTTGAGATGTTTAATCGCTTCTGGGGTGTTTTTTTGTTTTCCAACGCGGCACGCAAGGCCCTCGCCGAGCGGTGGTCAGTCTCTCCCGAGAGGTGTCTCCCCAACAACCTGCTTTTTGTTTTCATCTCCCAAAATGAGGTTAAGACGGGAGAGAGGGGGAGAGAGAAAGAGAAAAAGAAAGAAAAAACCGGTAACCATATGCGGAATATCTGGTACAAAGGATGTTTCTGTCACACGCAAGAATTTGTTATGGGAACAATTCTGTCGCTATGTAATTGCTCATTAGAGATCGTTTTGTTTCTCATTAAGGCGACATGAATAAGCGTCTAGTTGAAGGAGACAGCTGTAGAAATGTTCCACAGGAGACCCCTGGACACGATATGGCACCGCTTGCCAATTAGACATGTCAGTTTTAAGAGAAGGGAGCATTCGAGGAGGGACCCTGGAAAAGACAAGCGCTCTCGGGCACCCTGTTGCCGGCCCGGCTCCCAGATCTCCAGCTGGGAAGGGAGGCTGCCGAGGCGGGGAAAGGAGAAGGAATCCGCCTGGCAATTAAATGCTCGGCCAGGGAAGACCCCTGCCTGGACCGTTGCCTCTCCCCCTCCTCAGCCTAGCCCTCTTTATTTGGAAGTGTGCTCCCAATGGTAGTTTGGGTAAGGGGGCAGGCGTAGCTCTGGTGCGAGGAATGAGACCTATTCAGCTGCCCAAGCCCGGAAGACCAGAGGTTGCTCACCTGTTCCAGAGAAGCAGCAGCGCTAGTCTGGCGGCGTAAAAACAGCACACCAAGAGTCTTGTGGTCACTTCCAGAAAAGGGGGGGGGGAACCTGCATTGTGGCACAAGCTGTTGCAAGAAGGAGCCCTTGTGTGCTTGGACCCCATAAGCCATTTTAATACGTGTACGTAGAGCCCGACGGAATATGGACGCTTTTGGGTATAAATATGGTGCCTACCTTGGTATTGTGTCCGCGAAACTCGATCCAGTCCACTAGATCAGCTGGTTTTATATTGATATATCTGTATCACGACCACTATGGAATCTGCCTGTGTATTTGGGAAAGCGAGCCTTATGCTTCCCACCACCACTACCCCCGCCGCCGTATGCCGTGGATTGTACAGATAAATATAGTATATAAATACAGGATCAACTGATCTAATGGCCAGGAAAGGGTTTCGCCAATACAGTATCAAAGCATGCACAGCATTTATAACCATCTGAGAGAGAGAGAGAGAGAAGATCAGCTGGTCCCAGGTGGTAAAATTTCTTGTCCAGGCAGTGCCTTGGAGGGACAGGCATTTCAGTCGATTTTCATCAGCCTTGAAAGTCAGAGAAGCTAGGTCGGGCTCTGCAAAGATAGACCCGAGGCTTTAAATAGTGTACTATCTTTCCTGTTGATTTTGGGCTGTGATGTTGAACGCCCTGAGCACGATCCACTGGCACACGCCCCGTACCGAAATACATGTGAGTAGGGCAAGGGCACTCCCATGCCCTTCAGCGGATTGGATTCCACGGCATCTAAGTGGTCATCTCAAGATGTTAGCTTGATGATGCCTCGGACCAATAGCACAGCTGGACTCGCCCGATCCCAGACACATTTACTTCTAAAATTATCAAACTGGGCGGGTCAGAGCCCAGTCGGAAACCTATGGCTGCAACCGTACACCACCACCCCTTACTGGGACTAAGCCCAAATAGGTCTTGCTTCTCAATGGTCTGGCATCAGACCGTTGGTTTCACTGTAATCGACAAGGCTTCCATACATAGTTGTTTAAAGGTGCCCACTGGTTGAGATCCTGGTCTCAGACTGGCGTCCTCAAACTTTCGGCTCACCCTTATGAGCGGTTTCCTTAAGATCTGGAGCCTGGCCCTTAATAAATCTCCTTTCGTTCAGTGGCACGCAAGGACAGCAGTTCCAACAGAGCTAGGAACACCGCCAGGGTCCTTCTTCAGCTCGCCTTGGAGCGCCGATCGCAATGGCAGATAAGGGGATTAAACCAACAGTGGGAAGATTTCTAGCCTCCGGATGGCGGGGATCGGAGAGGCTGACAGACTGAGCGAGCGAGCGAGTGAGCAGGAATCCAGGATAGGCAGCAGATTCCAGAGGAAACCTCATCTCTGCAGGCGAGGAAGAGAGTCTGTCCTTCTCTTCGAGCCGCTGTGGATACTAGAAGAATGAGGAGAAATTGTGAAATCAAAAGGTGGAACATCTCCAGTATTGCTGATGATGGATGGGGCGGGCGTTACATATTCTTTGATGCTTGAAGGCAGAATTCTGGCGCTTCACCCTTTTCCGTGGGGCCAATATTTCCTTCTTTCCTCCCCTCCCCGTCCGTGTATTTTGTTAGAGCCGAGTCCAAGCCCCAGGTGCTTATCCAGACTGACCCTCCAGATGCTCGCATGTGTTGCTTTTCATTCCAAATCCTATAGACATATTTCAGCTCGCTTATAAGAGAGGAGAAGGTTTTGGATGTACTGCAGTGTCGACATCCCAGGGGGTCCTGGCCTGGATCTCTCTCCCGAAAGAAAAACCTGGATGTCTAATTTCTAGACACCCCGTCGCTGCCATTCCTACCCGCCTCACCCGAGCGCAAAGGACTTCCCGGGTGTTGCTGTTGTTGATGATATGTGTGTTTGTGTGTGTGTGTTTAAGGCCCACGCGGGTGTCTTAGCTTGGGAAACTGGGGCGATCCCTGGGCTCCAGTCCCCTGCTTTAAAGATGCGTCAAATCCTGAGGAATCGGTAGTGGGGCGGGGCGGGCGGGCCCCACAAATTGCTCGGTGGGAGCGATCGGTGGACAGGGTGTTGTCACGCCTTCCCATGTTACTGCGCTGGCCCTTTGCTTGCGCTAGATTTCATGGAGGCCTTAGCCTTGGGGTGGGGCGGGCTTAATTTAAGGACTTGCGTGTCCTGTTAGTTTTAAAGAGAGAGCAAAGCAAATATCTAAGTCAGTTACGCCAATATCCGTGCGACTTTTATGGCCGATCATAAGATGTTTACCCGGAAGAAAATCTTCACTTCGTACCCTGGGGAATTATTTCCTAGTAAATATCCAAACATATTTCAGTCTCTGAAGCGCTTTAACTTGGGCTGGATTTCCTCCCTCCCACCTATTAAGCGGTTGTCCCGTGTAACACACTTAGGGGGAACTAAGTTTCCTTGAAGCCTTTCCGAGCAAAAGAGTCCACGATCGGGTGCCACTGTTTTAGACCCTCCCCCACACCATTAATCACCACTTGCCATACAATTAAAACACGTGAATAGGAAAGAGCGCGGGGGCGGGTTTTTTTGTTTTTGTTTTTTTGTGGGGTTTTTTGGGTAGAATTCTGCTATTATCGTTGGCCCCAAGTCACGCACGCAAAATATGGGGAAAAGAAAGGGGGGAAGGGAGATGTGGCGAGGGAGGGAGCAGAGAAACACGTTGAAAGCTTTTGCATCGCTAAATTAAAATTAATAAAATGGCTTTGCCCTGGAATATTCATGCGCAGCTCTAATGTCCGCCTCCCCCGCCTCCCCCCCCCGCCTTCCTCTTGCAGAGCTGCCTCTGTGATGCTGGATTTTAAGAGTCCATTACTCCAAAAGCATAAGGTCTCAGAGGGGGACAAATATGGTCTCAATCTGATAAACGCCATGCAGCAGTGAATAAAATAATGGATACAAGAGGACTGACGGAACAAAAAGAGACATCTCTATCCGGGAGAAATTCTCCAGTGATTTAGTGGTTTTAGGGATCACTGAGACACTGTTTCTTATCTCCCCACCGCCTCCACCCCGCCTCCTCTCTCTCTCTCTCCCCTCCTTATAAGACTAAAGCCTTCTATAGGATTTAGACACTTTCTCTTTCAACAGATGCTACAAC